TGAAACATATTCAAATGTATTGAAAGCAGCTCACACCCAGGCAGCTTAACTAGATGTTAATAGTCACTTGTTTCCAGGCAAACACGGAAACGCTGGGAGCAGTTCATCCAATCAGAGAACCAGCACCTGGTGAGTCCAGAGGCTCTGGACCTGCTGGACAAGCTGCTGCGCTACGACCACCAGCAGAGGCTGACGGCGGCCGAGGCCATGCAGCACCCGTACTTCTGTTAGTACCGCGCGAGCCGCAGCACGTCTGCAACAACAGCTGCCTGCTGAAATAATGAGTCACAAATCTGATTTCACTCTCAAGATTATACAAGCTCTTCTTCCATTTTATCAGTTAACTCCATTCACCAAATATAAAGCAGCGATGTGTGACCACAGTGGCCAAACACACAGTAACCTGAATTCACCAGCAGGCCGTTCGTCTTCAGCCTTGTGGACCTGATCTGATATTTTCACTCGATCAGCTGATACTCCTTATGATGCTGACAAAGCAACATTTATATTAAAATACTTTACTCGTCTTCCAGAATCATTGTTTAAAATCAGGAGAATTCTTTTTTTGATCATGTAGAAATTCACTTTTCAGTTTGCTTTTTAAAAGATAAAAATGTCTCAGTCCACATCAAAGCTGTCTGTTATGTGGACTGATTACAGATGCATGTGCACTGCGTGATTATTAGTACAGCTTTTCACATCCAGGCTTTCCTTTTTCATCCTTACACATCTGCACTCTTACCTGGGTCATAAATTATACATAAAAAGGGGGGGGGGGGTAAATAAGGGGTGGCATCATCTAAATTCATTATAAAAACATTAAGAAAGATGGTGCAATTTGAAAACACTTAGAGTTCTGGTTTCTCTCACGTCTCTTTCTGTCTCTCAGCTTCTGCTCTTTCTGTGTCCGTAGGAAGGATAAAAGATTGATGTTATTCCAGGTATTTTGGCCACTGGTAATCAGGTTGTGATGAGGAAGTGCTGTTTTTAAACATGACGTCATTTTTAAAAATTTAACATGACCCATAACAAGTGACAGCCCGTGCACTCATCAGCAGAGTTTACAGAAGTCATGTCAGAAAGTTGTGTTTGGCCACATCTGCGTCTGCTTTCTCTCCCTCTCTCTGTCCTCCTGCCTGAAGACGGCCTAAACAAACGACAAGAAAGCTCACGGAAAACATTTTGTGTTTATGTCTCAGATCCTGTGGTGAAGGAACAAGCAAATGCCAACACAGATGGCTCAAAGGCAATAAGCAGCTCCAATGCAACATGATACCCAGAGAACAGGTAAGACACACAACAGTACTCTATTTATAATATGTAGAGATGTAGAGGTATGCAAAAGCTTGGATGTGCCACTTTACATGTCATGCCAATGCGTGTGTGAATGAAAGGCTCACTGTTGGCTTTTGAAGTGATTACAGCCACTGCAGCACGCAGAAGCTACGGGCTTTCCTACAAATGCTGATGCTTTACTCTGAGTCTGTTTACATATTATTTCTGTGAATGTTAAATATCAACCAAAAACGATACAAAAACAACACAAGCCGAGCTTCTTCAGAAGGGACCTGAATTTTTATCTAGCAGCACGTAACGTGGTCGTGCATTTGTGCTTCAGGCTGTTTTCTGCATGTGGTAGCAGTTTGTTGTCACCAGGGGGCAGTGTTAGAACATGTTGCATCACCAGGGGTGCAGATGTTCTTGTGTTCCTTTAGTTTATTTCCTACCACAGTGAGCACAGTAATCAATAAAGACAAAACAGCTACTTTGGAGTGATGTAAAACTAATGTTTTTT